TATTGCGATGATTTTTTTCGTCTGTTTTTTTTTGGGAAAAGTCTTAATATTTGTTAAGGCTCAAATTTAATTTTTGGCAGTTTGACTTTTGGTATATTTTAATTTCATTTCATTTCTTTTGCTAATACTTGCGAGCGTAGTCAATTATTACGAACCTTTTTTTAAAAAAGTCAAGTGTTTGAATGAAAGTTTTCATTTATTTGATGGAATATTTGATGAAATTTTATAGCATCTGTTTTCTGCACTATTTTCGGCTAGTGTTTGTGATTTGTTAAGCGTCCGTGACTGAGTGGTTAGTGCGTAAGACTCAAAATCTTTAGGTCTCAGTTCGAATCCGAGAGGTAGCCGAATTGAATTCTTTTCAAGTTCAGCTCATTTCATTTTTCAAAGGAAGGCAAACTCCACGATCGAACAGCAAAAGTGTAAAGGTCACAAAAAACGTGATTGACTTCTGATTTCGAAAGTGGAATTTAATTATCAGATTTTTCAGCGAAATAAAAGTTTAACTTATTGATACAATGTTCTCGAATTGGGTTAATTTTATCAGAAAGAGAAATTTTGACGGTACACGTATAATAGTTGAGTCCCTATAAGTTAGATGGATTCCTGGAGGATTTTTTTTGTGTTTAAAATTTTTGGAAAAAGGTTCAGAATTTGTTGCCTTGTCTTTTAAATTATCTCAAAAATTGCTCGACCCATCTTTCATACTTTTTTCAGGGACCCAACTATCATACTGGTACCGTTTTTAGACAAAAGTACCTCGATTTCAGTTGATATGTGATAGACATTTTTCTGCCCAATCAGCTCGGCTTTTATCCATTTCGCTTATTATTCAACCCGATTTTTAATCTCGTTTGTATAGTTTTCAGACAAAGTCCTCTTTTGTCTAAATATTCAGTCCTTTTTTCTCGCTCATTTTAGTGCAACGGTTTTGCGTCAATCACGCCGTTTGATATCTTTTTGAAGCGCTTGCTTTTTGCTGACTTATAGCTAACTTTGAACAAAACTCACGGGAAATAAATCGAGTTAACGCCGAAAAAAAATGCAAGTTGTTGAGATAAGTGAATGTTGCACTGGAGGTCTTGAGTATTTTGAATCCGGTAGGTTGATTTAAGTATTTTCTTGCAATTTTCTTTTCGGTCTTTGCCGTTTTTGTTTGTGTTGGCGAAGTGCAACTTCGCTTGCGTTGTTTTTTGATGATCTTTTTAAAATCTCGAGAGGCCAGGTTTTCGTTATAAATCTGTTTATTCCCTTTCTCGAAATATATAGTGTCACTAAATCATATAAATGGTTAGTTCGAAGACTTTTTGAAGCTAACGACGTTTTTTTAGAGCGTCGACATTTGATATTGTTGTTTGTTTTGTGTATTAGTACGAACCTTTTTTCCAACCTAAGTAGCAAGTATTGGTGTCACTTTTAGGGCACCTTATCAGCTTTTTCATAGCAAATGCTTTGACATTCGAATAGTAATAAGTTAACTCAGCTGATGCATTTTCAATTCATTAAAAGAACCGAAAAAAGTAATTAGTTTCAAACAAAGTAACAATGTTAAAACTCGATTTCAGAAATTTTCTAGCTCAATATATCGCGCACACTTTTTTGAAATGCATAGTTTATACATAATGTGGTTTTATGCTTTACGATTTGCTACATGCAAAGTTAGTTTGAATGCCTATAGTTTGGTATATTACAAATTATTACTCTCAAAATTGAGTCTGTTTGTATTTGGTGCCACTTTCGCTGAACTGCTTTGGCAGTTTATTAGCATATGTAGCTGTTTTATGCGTGACCAGTGTTTGTCGGTTGTTAAGCTTGCGCGGCTGAGTGGTTAGTGCGTAAGACTCAAAATCTTTAGGCGTCAGTTCGAATCCGAGAGGTAGCTGAATTGAATTCCAAGTTCAGTTCATTTCATTTTTCAAAGGAAGGCAAACTCCACGATCGAACAGCAAAAGTGTAAAGGTCACAAGAAACGTGATTGACCTCTGGTTTCGAAAGTGGAATTTAATTATCAGCGAAATAAAAGTTTAACTTGATGATACAATGTTCTCGAATTGGGTTAATTTTATCCGAAAAAGAAGTTTTGACGATACACGTATAATAGTTGAGTCCCTAAAAGTTGGATGGATTCCTGGAGGATTTTTTTGTGCTTAAAATTTTTGGAAATAGGTTCAGAATTTGTTGCCTTGTCTTTTAAATTTTCTCAAAAATTGCGCGACCCATCTTTCATACTTTTTTTTCAGGGACCCAACTATCATACTGGTACCGGTTTTAGACAAAAGTACCTCAATTTCAGTTGATATGTGATAGACATTTTTCTGCCCAATCAGCTCGGCTATTATCCATTTCGCGTATTATTCAACCCGATTTTTAATCTCGTTTGTATAGTTTTCAGACAAAGTCCTCTTTTGTCTAAATATTCAGTCCTCTTTTCAGTTTGTTATATTCCAAGTTATTATTTGCAAAATTGAGTCTATTTCTATTTGGTGCCACTTTTTCTGAATCGCATTGGCAAGTTATTAGCATATGTAGCAGCTTTTTCGTGACTAGTGTGTGTCGGTTGTTAAGCTTGCGTGGTTGAGTGGATAGTGCGTAAGACTCAAAATCTCTTGATTGCAGTATGTCGCAGATTTGAATCCTACACGTAGCCGAGTTTTTGCTAATTCGAGGCTAATTTCTATTTTTCTTATTGCATAGTCGGTTTTACTATAAACGTAGATTTGGTTTAACGAATTTGGTTGAAGGTTCTTCAAAAAGAAAAATTCAAAAATCTTTAATATTTTAACTGAGCATTATTAACAGAACGGCAATTAATTGTTATGGTAGTCATGTTTAAGAGTAATGAACGTAGTGAAGACTCCTATATAGGTCTTGCTGATTTTTTTTGTTTTTTTTCAGGAAAAAGTCTTAAAATATTTAATATGAAATAGGAATAACTGTATTTAATATGAAATAGGAACATTAAAAGAACTTGATGACTTTCTTCTAATGGAAAAATTTAGGACCTGGTTATTTTTAAGGAAATGGCTATCGTAGTACCCATCAAATTACCAAAGTAATTAGAGGAAAACATCTTTTCCGTGAAAATGATATTGCAGTTTTTCTCTGAAGTGTTTAAAAGTGAACTTATAAATACTTTTTTGTAGGTGTTGATGATTTTTTTTTATGTAAATGCTCATGTTCAAATTTGTTTTTTCGCGAGTTGACTTTTGATGTGTTTTTGAATATTTTGTATTTCCTTTTGCAAGGAAGGGAAACTCCACGATTGAACATCAAATAGTAAAGGTCACCAAAAACGTGATCGACCTCTAGCCTGGAAAATTGATTTGAATTTTTAGATTTCCCAGCGGAATATAAAGCTTACTTTGTGTTTCAGTTTTCTCAAATTGGGTTTGTTTTTATTGAATAAAAGTATCAATCTTTAATTGCTTTAGACATCAAAGAGTTTTAAGGTCATATATTTTTTTCTTTAAAATGCGAAAGAACTAGTTGAAGAGTAATGAAGGTAGTGATTTGTTTTTTTTTCAGAAAAATCTTAAAATTTGTTCACTCTTAATTTTGGTTTTTTGCGGTTTGACTTGTGATTTCTTGCTAAGTTCAGTGAATTTCTATGGCTAAAAGGAAGGCAATCTCCGCTATTGAACAGCAAAATTGTAAAGGTAACGAAAAACGTGATCGTCTTCTAATTTCGAAAATGGAAATTAGTTATCAGATTTCCCAGCGAAATAAAAATTTTACCTATTGATCCAGTTTTCGCAAATTGGGTTAATTTTAACAAAAGTATCCATTATAGATTGTTCTACAAATTCGAAGATCTTCAAGGCCATCTATTTTTTTCTTCGAAATTCAAAAGTTGAAGATTTTTGAAAACAAGTCGGTTTTTTCCTTTGTTCGTTACTCTTTTCCAACTGTCAGTTGGCTATGTTTATTTCCTTGCGGTTAATAACTTTTTTCCAGCTGTCTTTGGCCATGTTTTGGTTTTGCAATCATTTACGAATCATTTTTGATGAATTTTAGTTTGATTTTATGTTGTTTTCGGCTAGTGAATTTTTTTGCTTCTATTATATTAATAATTGGATTCCAAGCATTTACAGCGACATTTATGGAAATTGTGCTAAATCATATTTTGATAATTTGGTTGAGATATTGTTTTTGGTTCTATAAATCAAGATTCAATCCATTTTCTAGTACGCAAAGCCATGGTATGAAGTTAGAAAACCCGAAAATAGCAAAAAAAAAATAATAAAACTAGTTTCTTGCTGGGAATTATTTTGCGATGATCAATATGCCGGGAATATTTTCTAGTCGGTAGCATCCGGATACTCTGTTTTTGTAAATAATTCCCAGTTTCACGACGTCTATGAATTTATGACTTCTTAGTATTTTTGACTTATATTTTAAGTACTTCGACCATAAGACTTCTTGAAGTGGTTCAAATGGGAAATCATTTGGAAATTGTTCTCCAATATGGAAATAGAGAGAAAATGGCCCTTGACTTTCAGTTTTAAAAACATATTTTAATTTTGTGATTTTCCAATGGAAAAAAATACATATTGATCCGGGTTTCTCAAATATAACGAAAAATTTTTGATAAATATATCTTCTCTAGAAATTGAGAAGACTTTAAAGTGATTTTAAAAAAAAAATCCGTCATTCCATGACACTTTCTAACTATGTCCTCAATATAATGTTTTCTCTTTGTACATATTGCTAGTGTGCAAAGCTCTGCTTCGTTTCTCTGCTAAAGATGTTTGTATTTTTTTCCTATCTTCTTTTGCCTTGCTTTGACTTGCTCATTGATGTTTTTAAAATTCGGCTTTTGTCGTTTTGTCTCTGTAAATTTATGCAAATCAAGGATTAGGTTGTAAAAAAGCATTAAACGAAGCACTTATGAGACTATTTTTCTCACGCCTGTTATTTATGAAGCGGTGTTTAAAAGGCCAAAATGAGTTGACAAAATGACAAACATGAATTTCGAAATAATTTTCAAAGCGCCCAAATCAACGATAAATTGCAAATACAACAGTCGTATTACTTAGCAAGAATTTTATTAGAAGGAATGAAGGGACGTTTCAAGCCAAGTTTTGGATTAAAAGGCATGCACTTGATAAGAGTTTTGGTGATTTTTTTAAACTAGAAAAGAGCACACTTGCACATCGAATGAAAATCTGCTAGCCATTAGTGGGCCAGCGGAATACGCTAATAGTTAAATCCGGGATTTTTAAAATATAGTTGATCCAAAATTTTGAAGTGTTTCAGTTTAGAATGGAGTCATATTTAGGCATCGACCATCAAAATATAATTTTCGAGTAACGAAAAACGTGAAAAATAGAAGTTTTCTGTCGTTATAAATGATTGGAGGCTCTGATTATTCTTCTATAAAGATGAGCATAAAAGAGACTAAACAAGAGAAGTTGCGCATTCAGACGTCGCTCAAGTTCAACATCACTTCTGATCGGTAGAGTCTTCCGGTTTTCTGCACCGTCACTGTGTAGAACACCTAAAAAGAGAAGCGATAAGAAACAGTCAAAAGAAAGTGTCTCTTTTCTCTTTGCTTCAACCTAGCGGTTGATAGTTCGCGCCTCGACTTAAAAGATGCTCTTCGTCTGTGGGGGTGATTTAAGCCTGGCCATCAAAATTATGGTCGGTCGTCAAAAAAACTAAGCCTGGCCGTCAAAAATTAAATTGATTTGTTCTATTTGTAAGTTAAAATAAAAGCTGAATGAATAATTGTTTGCTACCTGGTCCTTATTTTTGTTCGCTGTCTTGCCCTTCACGATTCCCATGCATCCCCCTGTTGTTGCCTTACTCTTTCTCTGTGAAGGGTACACGGGGTGTCTGCTGCTGTTGGCGCGGGTTGAGCCGGAAGGAGCTGGAGGCCACTGGTCGGGAGGCGTGGGATCGAATCTCAGACACATAGAGGAGTCTTTTTTGTTTCCATTCGAGTTGGATTGGTTGCTATTAACAAAAATTTGATACTTCTATAAAACTTAAGTGCAACTTTTGCAAACTTAGTGTCACTATCTCAGTGCGATTTATCAAAACTGTCAACTTGAAAATTATCTTGCAACGTAACCAGCCTCAAGCTTCGGTATTTATTTTGTTCAATTAGAATGATCCGTAGGCGCTTCTTTTCGTGAACAGAATTCCTTTGTAACCTGTGAATGGGTGGTCCGAGGGGGAGACGGGGGATGTGGTGTTGGTATGCCACGGCCATGTTGGGGGAGATGGTGTGTTTAAGCAGGACATAGAAGAATGGGTTGGCCACTGAGTTGAGTGCACAGATAGCTATGGCCACTCCCTCCACAATCGGCAGCCATGATGCAGTGGCCTACAAGGAAAGCAACACACTTCGATGTTGAATTACTCGAGTCTGTAATATTTATGTGGGCATCTTGTTTTAAAAACCCTTTTTTGGAGTCTACTAAATTGATATTCAAATGCCTGAAAAACCAAATCGATATTCTGATAATTTTAAAACCAAATTGATATCGATACTTTAAAAAGTATAATTTTGGCTCCTGCGAATCGCAGAGGAGCTATCAGTTGGCATAAGCAGGCTTGTCGAAGGATACTCCATTTGTGTTATCTACCCGTATTCCAGACAGTTATTTGGGTGCGTTGGGTTGTTCAAAGATTGTCGTTTTCTCAACTCTCGCAAGTTTAAGAGAACTGCTAGTGCCATCTAAATTCAGTCGACTATGTGAAAGTACGACTAGATTTGAACCTGTATAATAGTCTGATGAAAGAGCATGACGTCTAGGGCGACCAGAAGTCGGTAGTTGAAAAAGGGAGTGTAGCAGACGAATACTGAAATGGCGGTAGCGTAGCTGTAGAAGTGCAGGAATTTGTTCCGGTCGTCCATGAAGCGTTGATGGGCACTGCGTGCTAAAACGTGAACAGACAAATTCCTTCATTTCCCGTGTTTTAGGCTCCGCAATAGAGGCGAGAAGCGTTCACTTCCGCATTTAGTCTTACTGGAATGAGCTTTGTCATTTAAATGAATTATAGGGACGCTATTTTTTCGAAACCGGTTGAATTTACTCAAAATTAATGAGCTTCCGCAACTTCACTTGGCATTCAATCCAATTTATTCGGGCTTATTTCCTGATTTAGTGGTTTGAATTACGAAAATTTCAAAATAATTCATTAATTGAGATGAGATTTAGCTGAACAATCACGTATAGGAAAATGGATCTTCATTCAATATTGAAAAGAGGATTCCAGTGTCATCAGAATTAAAGAAATTCTTAATTATCCGACTTTCTCAAATTAGTTTTTGTATTAAGTTTGAAAAGTATCAGTTTCCTGTCATCGCATCAGCTTAGTCCAGAGATTCTGATTTTTTGTATTTTTCTAAATTGACCTTGTGAGCAATGAAAAGATCCAATTCCTCGGGCAGGCTTACGTCCCCTCTAAATCTGCCCCTTTTCGTAAAAATTTTGAACATTTTAACGAGCTCATGTTTCTTTTCTTCCGCCCATGCAAATTTTAAGAGAGCAGTTTTAAAGCATCATAGATGAAGTTTTTTTCCTTTTCAAAATGTCTGCCAAAGGTTTTCTGACAAAAAAAAAACATTTTTTTTTACAACTGAATTTTTATGATGACGTATGTTTTGTTGAATGTCATACATTTTTGAGGGAAATGTTGATTAGAGATCGATGCAGCTCGTAATGATTAATTGCGGTTGAACCTTGATCAATATGGTTGTTTTTCTGAGCTGGGAAATATAGCCCAACCCTCGAGTAATGAGCAAGGATCTGCCTTCAGTTAAAATCGTATCAGTTGCCATCAGTTTCACTTGTTAGTCGGGTTATACTGTTTGTGTTAATTTTTCATCAGGCTTTTTTTGGTTAAAAGCAGATTAATCGGCTCAGCATTGATTATTTTCTTCGAGGTTTGACTTTTAATTTGTTAAGGTTTGTTAAAAGGAAAACATACTACTATCAAACAGAAACAATGTAAAGGTCTCAAAAACGTGATCGACTTTTAGCTTAGAAAGTGGATATAAATTTCAGATTTCCCAGCTGAATAAAAAATTTACCTATTGATCCAGTTTTCTCAAATTGAGTTAATTTTATCAAAAAGTGCCAGTCAATCTTTTTTTTTCGGTTTTCTTGCGTCTTGCGTTCGTTGACTTTTTCCAACTGTATGTTGGCTATATTTTGGTCTCATTAGCTGCTATCTATTTGAATTGGATCTACTTAACAATTACCCCCCCCCCCCTTTAAGAAGGGGGGCAATTGTTAAGTAGATTAATATAACGCATTTTCGACCAATCAGATTGCAGCAAAATTAGAAGTCTCAATACAAAGCTCTAGAGGTAATTTTTTGCTTTTATTAATAGGGGTGGCAATTCTTAAGTAGGTACCAAAGGGAGGGCAATTGTTAAGTAGATCCTTTGAATTTTATGTTTTGATAATGATATAAAAGTAATGTACTGGGGTAACATAGGTTATGTACTGTTAATGATGATGATGATGTGCCTAAAATTTAAAAGAAAAGATCTGCAATTGGTTTCAACACAGTCAACTGTTCAGTTCTGTCAAGAAAGCACGAAGAGTTCATGTCTTGAAAACTTTTGTCATTCCTAACGGGGGAGGTGGGGGCAAGGGGTCTGTAAGAACGAATAAATTTTGGGTATTTTCAATATTTTTAGTTTTTTTCCTAGTCCAACATAATGTTTCTAGTGGGTTTATGTTGTGTTCCATGGTCTTTATTAGTGTTGATGCTCAGTTCCAATTATTGACCACTATTACTCTGCAGTATTTTATTCGCGGCAGGGGGGGGGGGTGGTTAATTACCGTAGGGAGATACGAAAATAACCGTAGGTGGGAGTAGGGCAATTTTTTCCCATTGTAGGGGTCCAAAATTATCAGGGGGATCCGCAACTTCAGATCAATTCTGATAAATATATGATGCTAAAACAGCCGAAATTTTTGGACAAAGTTAAAAAGGTCGATATTCTAGGAGGGTGGGGTGTATGAAGAATAGAAGTCGATTTGTGTTGCGGGGTGGGGGTGGGGGGGGGGGGGGGGTGGTTTAGTGGTTTCGGTCCCTACAATTAAACAGTGCAAAGTATCTCACTGGCAACGTTTTACGACGAGACTAGGGAATTTAGAGAATGGTACATAAACCTCAGAACTTTTTAATGACATAATGACTTAAAAATCGTCTTCATAGCTCAGGGAATTAAGCGGCTGATGTTTTAGTTGCCATAGATTACCCGACTGCAAATCAGCAAGATAAAGTTGAGTGTATCTACTTGTGGTTATTTGTGTGAACAATTTGAGCTCCATTTTATTGGTTATTTTTGACTATCTTTCCACTATTAATGCATCTTTAATTCCGCAATAATTAAACTGCATAAAATTAAACTAAGAACTATCTGCGAAGAGCGAAAATAAAAATAGACCCAGACAAAATAAATGCTTCTTGAGTATTTGCGTTTAATTAAGTTTTTGACCTGAATAGCGCCTTTTGTGGTGGATTGGGGCGAAAACTTTTAAAACGGAACTAAGACGTGATGAGCGAAAATAAATTTAGATGACCTAGACAAAAGTAATGCTTCTTGATTAATTCTGAATCATTTGGATATTATTTGTTTATTATGTGCGTAAAATCAATTTCTTGACCTTTGAATGACGCATTTTGTGGTGGATATTTAACTCCCAAAACGAAATTATGGCTTGTGCCTTGATTAACAATAACGGAATTATGATTTGTGCCTTGATTGAAAACTTGATTAATGTAGTTTGATTCGATTTTTTTCTGGGTTTTGCAGTGCTCGTGCGTTGAGTGGAATGAAGTGGGTCGGTGGGAGGGGGAGAGACAGCGGATCTTTTGAGGGGGGGGGGTATGGTGGTGCGGTTAGGGATTGGATTGGTAGAAAAGAAATACTGACGGCAGTTGAAGGTGGCTCTGCGTCGGCTGGTTCGGATCTGTTCTCGGAAGTATTGGCCGAATGTCTTGTAGTAGGAGGCGATGGACAATACAGGTACCAGGTAGCACAGCAAATACACGAGTATGATGAACATATTGAAACTGAACGAGCTCCTAAACACAACACAAGATTTTTCGTTATAATTTTAGCTGAAAGTTTGTGCCACCTGCCCAGTAGTCTGCTAGATATTATTGCCTTAAGTGGTGTCAAAACCCTGGCTGTGTAAGAGCATAAATGAGAGTGGCAATTGGTTACTTACGCCTGAAAGGAGCAAGTTTGAGTTTCGTAATCGTAGTCGAAGTTGTACAAGAAGTAGCTGCCGAGAAGCATGGCGCTTCCCCACACCACCAGTTGCTGCAACACACATACGCACACTACATTAAAGTTGCTTTAACTACATTAATAGAAATGGAGAGTGGTTGTGAAGTGGTTACGTCTCCGCCTCTCAATTGAAAGGTCGGATGTTCGAGGCCCGCCATGATCGATTTCATATGTGATATTGCTTTATGACAGAAATTGCGATGTGCTCTAAATGAGCGGTTAAGTCTATCTTTTTTAAACCTTTTATTGCCTCATTGCTGACCATTCATGGGCAATGAGTTTTGATGAGTTTGTTGTGGGGATAGCATTTGACGTTAAAAACATGCTGTTACAAATGGATCACTTTAAGGGAATGCAAGGTGAACGCTTCAGCATGCGACGTAAAAGTATTCACGCGAAAAGGATGGGATGTCTTTTCTGAATTTGAAATAGTTAAAGCGCATCCTAATTTTATGGCTGGTTGGGCGAAATTTGATGTCGTAAAACATCTCTACCCAGAAGAGCTGCAGAACTAGTAGGGACGACTTTATTTCTAGGTGTAAAATTAAAAGGTTCGAAGAACTGTAGAAATGAAGGGACATAAGAAGTAGCGGTGCATGTCTAATAGAATCTGAATAAGGGGGGCGGGTGTTACCAGAAGGAGGGTGGTCTTGAGGGTGAATATGAATCGGTAGTTGTTGCCACTCTGGATTGCGGCCTTCCTCTGCAGTCCAATTGCCAGAGTGCTCCAGATATTGATGTGCATGAGGGTGATATCCAGGCCGTTCATGCTACACAAACAAAATTGGGGATAGGAAATTTGACGACACACAAATTAGACAATGTTAATAAAACGAAGATTAGACCATAATTTTTTGGAAAAATCTGACGTTTGTTTACTTATTAATGAAGTCACGCCAATACATTTTCTAGGCCTCAAATACAACACATGAATAATTTCGGTAAATTTTGATTTCGGTAAAAGGAAGGCGAATTACCTGAAAATGGCGCCAAAAACGCGAAAGACTGTTAGTTTCGAAATGATATTTCAGTTTTTAGATTTCCCGACGGATTAAAAAGGTTTTTTTTCGACACAAAAAGGTACTTTTTCTTCAATTGACTAGTTTTATGGAAAAAATCCAACATAAAAGATTTTTGAAATTCAAATAGTTTAAACGTGGTGTAGTTTTTTTTTCAAAATTCGAAAGATGAAAAATTTCGGAAGATTAGTCAATCGTTTTTTTTTTGGTTGACTCTTTCACAATTTTCTGTTGCCTATGTTTCTCTAAGTTTATATTTTCATACGACTCGTTATCCGGTGTGATTAATTTCATTTCCTTCATAAATTAACGTATTCGTTATGGCTGTTCGAAATTTAAGTGGTGCAACTTCAGTGTTGTTAGAATTCGAAGCTGAACTGAATAAAATGTCCCGGCGAGGAAGATAAATTGAGACAAAAAGATACTGTTTGCTTCCCTTTAACATGCTTTATGGCCTGTTTATGCTAATTTTTGTTGGATTCTTTTGTTGGATTTTCGCATATGTCATTCCAAAAATGGTTCGATAATAATTTTTAGCTAGTCGAATTGAATGATTGAAGCGTTCGGTTCGTTTATTTTTGAAGTTTTAACATTTTTAGGAACTTGAAATTTCGAGGTAATCCAAATCGTTTAAGATTATACTCAATGTGATGGCTATCTGGCGTAGAGTTTTTCCCTAATATGGGGCCTAATTAGCCTAAGTAAGAAATGAAATCTGCTTAGAAGAGATCGGGTGTATTTTGGAATATCTAAAAGGAATCCGTAAGGTCCACTGGACGGATTATCTGCTTCTTTTTTATCAAACTGACATCTCTCTATTTTGAAAGTTTTTTTAAACCAGAAAGTTTAGTCTTAATTGCCATTGAGCGTAGAGAAGACGCTTATATAAGGCATTTGAAATAATTTTTTTGTTCCGGCTTTCGTAGAGAACGGAATATTTATGCTCGGTGTGGTGTGTATTTTGGAATATCTAAAAGGAATCCATAAGGTCCACTGGACGGATTATCTGCTTCTTTTTTTTGATCAAACTGACATCTCTCTATTTTGAAAGTTTTTTTTAAACCAGAAAGTTTAGTCTTAATTGCCATTGAGCGTAGAGAAGACGCTTATATAAGTCATTTGAAATAATTTTTTTTGTTCCGGCTTTCGTAGAGAACGGAATATTTATGCTCGGTGTGGTTTTTTTTATCAATTTTCGCCGATCAAAATAATAGTTTTCGACAGAAATTTTTTACACCCTTTTAAAGATATCGACTTCTGGAGTTCAAATTTAAATAGATAGCATACCTGTCTGGGTATTTTGTAAAGTTCTGGGGGTTTGAAAATCGCCAAATTCGCCATGTTCTGGACTAAATTATGCGCGCTTTGAAAAATTTATTCATGTTGCTGAGAGCGCAACGCGAATAATTTACGCGTGGTGAATTATGCTGCTCAATAAAATCGTTACAAATTGACATGAGGCTAGCTAATCAGATTGGTCGTATTAATTTTGTACTTTTGTACGACTCCATGTTTCAAACTTTGATATTGTCCAAAATTTTTTGGTTTTCAATATTTTTTTTCCCAAAAACTGTTCGATATGAATTAAGGGACAGTCGAAACATTCAGGGCTTTGCCTTGATAAATGAGCAGTCTTGTTTCATTTAATGATTTCTTTTGTTTGATTGTTTCTTTAATGGCTTCTACTAATATCAGATGAAATTCTTTTTCTAAAAGAAAAGGCAAATTGAGTTTTCTAATAAAGAAAGCGGAGATGGCGCGAATTACGGCGAATGACCTTTAGACTCGACCATGGATTTTTGTTTTTACGAGTAATGAACGTAGTGAGTACTCCTTTATAGGTCTTGGTGATTTTTTTTTCAGGCAAAAGTATCAAAATTTGTTCACGCTCAGTTTTGATTTTCCCGGTTTGACTTGCGATTCTTTTCTAAGTCCAGCGCATTTCCATTGTTAAAAGAAAGGCAAACTCCACTGTCGAACAGCAAAAGTTTAAAGGTCACAAAAAACGTGATCGACTTCCAATTTCGAAAATGGAAATAATTTATCAGATTTCCCAGCAAAATAAAAGTTTAATTTATGATCTAGTTTTCTCAAATTGGGTTAGTTTTAACAAAAAAGTTTTCCTCATAAATTGTTCTAAAAATTTGAAGAGCTTTAAGGCCATCTGTGTTTTTTTCAAAAGTTGAAGGTTTTGAAAAAGCAATTCAGTTTTTTTGAATTTCCTAGCGTTCATTACTCTTTTCCATCTGTCAGTTGGCTATGTTTAGATCTTCCAGCGTAAGAGTTAGATCTCCCAGTTTTCTGTTATTGGGCTAGTTGTTTGAAAAAAGTGTTGGTTATAAAACATCGTGAATTTAAGAAAGCTTTAACGTGATACTTTTTCGAAATTCGAAAATTCAAAAAGGCCATCATTTTTTGGTTTTTTACAACTGTTTGTTGGATATGTTTTTATGCATTTAGGAATTTGCCTGCTATTCATACTTACTTCTCGAATGTAAATGTTAGTTTTCGTATTTTTAATTGCAAGAGAAAGTCACCTGTTTAACAATAAAACTAAGCGACCCAAGCAGTTGTACCTTTTACGTTGAGCGAAGTGTCGTATATACATTTTCTTGCTATTTTTGTGAGTTAAATTTAAACTGGATCATAGGATGGGATTTAGAAACTATTTTAAACTAACACTTTTCAAAAAGAGTACAACCCCTTCCATGGTCGCACTGTTATCGAGTGTCACCTTTATCGGATGTTTAAGAGACTGATTTTTGATGTCGTTTTTTGCAAAAATTTTGCGGTATCAATCTGTTCGCCAGTGATGAATGAAAGCGATCGAAATTTACTTACCGGCAGGACCACACCCCTAGGAAATTATGATCTCCTAAGAAGCTGGCCACAGCATAGTAAGCTGACATGAGCGAGTAGAGGAGATCGCAGACTGCGAGTAGACTGATGTTAACCATGGTTGGCGCCCCCGTGCGCCGGGAGGGACGACACTCGAGCCAATTGATCATGAGAACCATCAGGTTGAACGAAACACCGAACGCACTAAGCAAAGAGTGCATCACTCCCGACGCTATTCGTGCAGTGTCGTTAGTGTCGCGTTTTTCACCGTCATCGTCGCCGTCTGCCGAGAGCAAAGGGATAGAAGACGACGAGGATGGGGAGAAAATCTGAAGATGCGGAGTTTCTGAGGCACCCTGAGGTAGCTCTCCATATTGGGAGACCAAAGAACTGTCGGCATGGATAATGAGACTGGAAATAGGGTGGAATGTACCTGTGTTTAAGCCCCACGTTGAAACAGGTTGAAACTGCATCATTGTAAAAGTGCCGAGAGAATTGAAGAGATATAATATGCAATTATATTGAAATGGTTTTTGATCAGCCGTAATTTGTTTTTGTGGCGCAGTAAAGAGCACGTTATGTTGTAACGACAGTCTGTTAATAAAAGTAGGCGGTGGTTTCAAGCTTCAAAGTTATCTGGGAAACTATTTTTTAAATATGTAGTTATATAAATGGGAGGCGGCACTGCGGAGATACAAATTATTATAGGGAGAAATATTTACTTCCGATAAATGATTAAAAAGAAGGAAAATTTTATGATTTAAATGATAAAAACAGTATCAAATTAACTGAAGTTAGCGGCAGAAGAAATTTTCCTCGATCAATTTATGAGTTCTGTTTTGCCTTTTGAAGTTCAAAAAATGATTTGATTAAATGTGTTTTACGATATGCTACGACAAAGTTAAGGTTAATTCCAGAATATGCTGTAGCTGTAGAGAAGAGTACAAACATATCGACAAGGCAAGTTAAATAAAAGTTTTAAAATTGCCTTTTTTTTATCTACCATGCCTTTTTTATCTACAATTAGTTGCAAATGACGTGCCCAAAGGCAATAATTGTTTACAGCCCATTGGACTAAAAGAAATATTATTTTTTTAAGCGCGCAGCGGACTAAAAAGCAGTCATTGGTAGCGGGCGTAAGTTGGACCAATGAAATTTACCCTTTAGCTCACAAATGAACAAATATAATCTGATTTGTTAGGCTGGGAGATAATCTGAAACACACATATCTGCAGTTCCCAGGCCTTATCTCGTTATTTTTAACCAAAAAAAAATCAATAATCAGTATTAAAGTAGCAAGTTATTATTGAAAATAGCTATTTCCTTTTTCCTTTCTGGAGCGTTTTCCCTTCTTTTTGAATGAACATGAAGTTAAGTTAAGACGAAGATTGGTGACTGATGTACTGGGAGAATGAAAGGATCTATATCCATAATTATAACTAATTTATTCTCTATATCTATTAATTCATCATAAGTTTCACATCGCAGTTTGAGGCGTTTATTGTATATAAAAGCGACGCTTGTTGTACATTACCAGTCAATTTTCCCCAAAAATAATAAGCTCATTTTTCTTTTAATTTTTTTTGTTAATTTTCAGCATCTGTCTACAGATTAAATACCATGTGGTGATTTAAATAGCATCAGATATATCCGCCCTATTAAAACGCATTCAATATTACTTCTAATTGAGATATATTTAAGACCAGGGGGCGGATCTAGGATTTTCTCGAGGGGGATTTTCAAAAAGTTTTGGGAAATCAAATTTTATGCGCCGCTGGCAAAATTTTGAAAAAAAACAGGCCAAAAAGCATCTTTAGGCACTTTTTGGAAAATTTTGACAAAAAAATCGCGCTTTTTCGGCGCGCGCTCCCCCCTTTAAATTAGTATATATTGGCGCCTTTAGAAATATTTTAGGGTCCGTCACCAAATATGGATATCTCAAAATAGTACAAAGGGGGGACCCACCCTTGGGTCGGCAGAGGGTCGAATCCCTGAGGGGGGGGGGGGGGCGGTCGCCCCTCCCCCAAAATCCGCCCGTGCTCGAGGCTGAGTGCTCCTACCGTCCTAAGCTCTCTTGACTGGGTGGATTATCGAATGTTGCAGGTGACTAAGTTTTTAGATTGATGCAGTTCTGAATTGTTCAACTTTTCAAGGCTTATATGCGTGATTTTTTTGTAGAGCCGTTTTTTGTTTCTCGTGATTCTTAAAATTGAAAGCTAAGTTAAGTTGAAACTAGATTTTTTCGAGCTACATGGCTCAAATGAAAATGGCGCAATTTTGTTTCAACGCTTTCTTATGGCTTATTGTTTTAGATTTATTAAGAATCGATGAATGTTGTTCAGTTTTTTAAATAGGCCATGAGTATTTTCTCTTAATTTTCAGAAAAAGTCGTAGGGTTCGCACTTAAACTTGATTTTTCGCGGCTTGTATTTGATTTCTTTTCAAGTTTAGTTCATTTCCTTCTTTTAAACTAGCGATCAGCTTAGTGTACTATTACGAAACTTGTTTTTTTTTGTAACTTATCTCGCAAATGAAAGTGTTCAGTAAAAGTGTTCCTTGATTTCGAAATTTCCCTGTAGCATTAGAATTTGCATACCATCTGTTCTCTGCTTTTTTTGTGGCTAGTGCTTGGTGCATATTAAGCGTCCGTAGCTGAGTGGTTAGTGTGTAAGACTCCTAATCTGTAAGTCGCAGGTGAGAATCTCAGACATAGCTGATTTTTTTTTTACTAACTCGAGGTTTTTTCTACAAGTGCAATAAGAACAATTAGAAATGAGCCTCGAATTATTTTTAGAAAATCAGATACGCTGTCTATTGGCTATGTTTTGTTTAATTATGGTGTTCAATTATTCCGACCAATTATTTTTTTTGTCATGCAAAGTCAAGAGCCCGAAATTTGGGGAGTCGAGTGATATATCATCATGTTGAAGCTCCTTCAGGCGTACTTGAGTAACGATTGATTCTTTAATTTATGTAATGTTTGATTTTATTGCACAAGTAAGCTTGCGCACTTAGTGTTATAAGGTCAATCGATTTTTTCCAACGCAAGATGTGTTTTACAGCGCCGTTTTTTTGAATTCATGGTTAATGTGGAATTTTTTTATGCTCGTTTTAGAATTATCAAAGTCTTGAATTCGAATGTAAAACAATATATGACCTGCGATCAGTTTTTGTAAGTTTCTAGTTTTCAGGCGGTCGGAAATTCATGGCAAAATAATAGTTTTCGACAGAAATTTTTTACACCCTTTTAAAGATATCGACTTCTGGAGTTCAAATTTAAATAGATAGCATACCTGTCTGGGTATTTTGTAAAGTTCTGGGGGTTTGAAAATCGCCAAATTCGCCATGTTCTGGACTAAATTATGCGCGCTTTGAAAAATTTATTCAGGTTGCTGAGAGCGCAACGCGAATAATTTACGCGTGGTGAATTATGCTGCTCAATAAAATCGTTACAAATTGACATGAGGCTAGCTAATCAGATTGGTCGTAATAATTTTGTACTTTTGTACGACTCCATGTTTCAAACTTTGATATTGTCCAAAATTTTTTGGTTTTCAATATTTTTTTTCCCAAAAACTGTTCGATATGAATTAAGGGACAGTCGAAACATTCAGGGCTTTGCCTTGATAAATGAGCAGTCTTGTTTCATTTAATGATTTCTTTTGTTTGATTGTTTCTTTAATGGCTTCTACTAATATCAGATGAAATTCTTTTTCTAAAAGAAAAGGCAAATTGAGTTTTCTAATAAAGAAAGCGGAGATGGCGCGAATTACGGCGAATGACCTTTAGACTCGACCATGGATTTTTGTTTTTACGAGTAATGAACGTAGTGAGTACTCCTTTATAGGTCTTGGTGATTTTTTTTTCAGGCAAAAGTATCAAAATTTGTTCACGCTCAGTTTTGATTTTCCCGGTTTGACTTGCGATTCTTTTCTAAGTCCAGCGCATTTCCATTGTTAAAAGAAAGGCAAACTCCACTGTCGAACAGCAAAAGTTTAAAGGTCACAAAAAACGTGATCGACTTCCAATTTCGAAAATGGAAATAATTTATCAGATTTCCCAGCAAAATAAAAGTTTAATTTATGATCTAGTTTTCTCAAATTGGGTTAGTTTTAACAAAAAAGTTTTCCTCATAAATTGTTCTAAAAATTTGAAGAGCTTTAAGGCCATCTGTGTTTTTTTCAAAAGTTGAAGGTTTTGAAAAAGCAATTCAGTTTTTTTGAATTTCCTAGCGTTCATTACTCTTTTCCATCTGTCAGTTGGCTATGTTTAGATCTTCCAGCGTAAGAGTTAGATCTCCCAGTTTTCTGTTATTGGGCTAGTTGTTTGAAAAAAGTGTTGGTTATAAAACATCGTGAATTTAAGAAAGCTTTAACGTGATACTTTTTCGAAATTCGAAAATTCAAAAAGGCCATCATTTTTTGGTTTTTTACAACTGTTTGTTGGATATGTTTTTATGCATTTAGGAATTTGCCTGCTATTCATACTTACTTCTCGAATGTAAATGTTAGTTTTCGTATTTTTAATTGCAAGAGAAAGTCACCTGTTTAACAATAAAACTAAGCGACCCAAGCAGTTGTACCTTTTACGTTGAGCGAAGTGTCGTATATACATTTTCTTGCTATTTTTGTGAGTTAAATTTAAACTGGATCATAGGATGGGATTTAGAAACTATTTTAAACTAACACTTTTCAAAAAGAGTACAACCCCTTCCATGGTCGCACTGTTATCGAGTGTCACCTTTATCGGATGTTTAAGAGACTGATTTTTGATGTCGTTTTTTGCAAAAATTTTGCGGTATCAATCTGTTCGCCAGTGATGAATGAAAGCGATCGAAATTTACTTACCGGCAGGACCACACCCCTAGGAAATTATGATCTCCTAAGAAGCTGGCCACAGCATAGTAAGCTGACATGAGCGAGTAGAGGAGATCGCAGACTGCGAGTAGACTGATGTTAACCATGGTTGGCGCCCCCGTGCGCCGGGAGGGACGACACTCGAGCCAATTGATCATGAGAACCATCAGGTTGAACGAAACACCGAACGCACTAAGCAAAGAGTGCATCACTCCCGACGCTATTCGTGCAGTGTCGTTAGTGTCGCGTTTTTCACCGTCATCGTCGCCGTCTGCCGAGAGCAAAGGGATAGAAGACGACGAGGATGGGGAGAAAATCTGAAGATGCGGAGTTTCTGAGGCACCCTGAGGTAGCTCTCCATATTGGGAGACCAAAGAACTGTCGGCATGGATAATGAGACTGGAAATAGGGTGGAATGTACCTGTGTTTAAGCCCCACGTTGAAACAGGTTGAAACTGCATCATTGTAAAAGTGCCGAGAGAATTGAAGAGATATAATATGCAATTATATTGAAATGGTTTTTGATCAGCCGTAATTTGTTTTTGTGGCGCAGTAAAGAGCACGTTATGTTGTAACGACAGTCTGTTAATAAAAGTAGGCGGTGGTTTCAAGCTTCAAAGTTATCTGGGAAACTATTTTTTAAATATGTAGTTATATAAATGGGAGGCGGCACTGCGGAGATACAAATTATTATAGGGAGAAATATTTACTTCCGATAAATGATTAAAAAGAAGGAAAATTTTATGATTTAAATGATAAAAACAGTATCAAATTAACTGAAGTTAGCGGCAGAAGAAATTTTCCTCGATCAATTTATGAGTTCTGTTTTGCCTTTTGAAGTTCAAAAAATGATTTGATTAAATGTGTTTTACGATATGCTACGACAAAGTTAAGGTTAATTCCAGAATATGCTGTAGCTGTAGAGAAGAGTACAAACATATCGACAAGGCAAGTTAAATAAAAGTTTTAAAATTGCCTTTTTTTATCTACCATGCCTTTTTTATCTACAATTAGTTGCAAATGACGTGCCCAAAGGCAATAATTGTTTACAGCCCATTGGACTAAAAGAAATATTATTTTTTTAAGCGCGCAGCGGACTAAAAAG